CAGATGAAACTGTAGCTTTTCTTGTTCTTGAAAAACTTTAATGGCAGATTTTCTTATATAGCGAGGGAAACGTCTCTGCTCCATGGTCATAGTCGCCATGACTGAAGATTTCTTCGATGGTAAAGTTCCTTATCACCTTTAATACGCTTTAATATCACAGGTCTTTACATCTACCTCATTGTAAGTTGCTTTCAAGCCTCTACTTTGACAACTTTATTCTTGATGTGGAAGCCAACGTTTTGTTACCCACAGGAGTTACTTGGAAATAAATACATTCATGTAGGATACCTAGAATTTACTACCAACACAGTTTCCTTTGCTTCAATCTGCTTTTGCGCAGCTCCTCATACTGTAACGTGACAAGACTGAGTCATAGAAGGGTGCCTCGGCTCCCTACTAAAGAGAGACAGGGTGCTGAAAACACGAACACAAAAAGATAAGAGGATGAAACACTAAGTATACTTGACTGCAAAAGTGAAAGAGCCGGCTGAGGCCCAGCCTCAAAGAAGTACAACTGGAACTTCTCACACTAGTCCTAATCGGAACATTTTAATTCAAACATAGAAAAAGTTATGACATAGGTACCTATCGAGCATTCTTTTTGCACATCGCGGTAAGACATGATACTTTTAAAGACGAGAAAAATCAAGTTTATTTTCCATGAAATTAAAAAAAAAATTAGGCATTTTCACCACGACTTGTTTCTGAAAACACAGAAATGAGACATTGATTTTTACACGCAACTTCATAAGAGTTTTTCACTTTCATTGAAGAAATTTGAAGTTCATTTTATAAATCCTTCCATTTTAAGGGGATGCATAATGAAGGTGACATCACTTAACCACAATCCTATCTGCAGTTGCATCATTTCAGATGTTCTTAAATTTTTTACTATTTTGAAGCATAACGGATCAGTACATGAAGAAAAATTGCATGTAATGCACAGATTCTGAGATGCTATCAAAATCCATATTCCTTGCACAATGGAAATTTTTCTAGGTTCACCATTGATGTGTATGTCTAATCACATTAAAAGATAAAAATAAATAAAAAAAGCCACTTAGCGCCCCAGCTGAGTCTTATTAGAAAAGATATTAAAAAAACTAGAAACGATTCCCTCCAAGTATCAGAATGGAAAAATCCTGAAGACCTTTCTCTTCAAATCATGGTGCAAAATTAAGAGGAGAACGTTTCTCCAAAGTTCATTTTCAATTAAGTCTAGGTATTATTGGACATAGCCTTTCTCTGATGAAGAAAAGGAAGACATTAATGGTGACGCTAGGCTTTTATTGCTCATCAGTCGAGGTCAAATTAAAAATCGAGACCTGTTTACTTAGATATCTACTTTAAGGGTCAGAAACAAAGCATAAATTTAGTTTAATTTACAACCATTGATGGAATTTCCTGATCCATTATGGCTCTCGTTCTGCTAAGAGAGCTACTTAAACTTAGAGGTCTTTAGTGTCGTCCACGGCAGAGACAAGCTCAAGCAGCCTATACATAATGCTCCATTTGCAACAAACGATAAAATGAAAAGTAAAATAAAATGCACAATGGTGAACTAGGTTCGATTGGTTCGGTGCGTTCGGGCATCGATGTATGACCGTTCGCGAATCGACCTCTGACCGTTCGCCACGAATCGACCATTGCCGATGTCGACCTTTGCTACTCGTTCGGCGGTTTGACAAACAGCAGTTTTTGGTGAAATGTGGTCCGGAATATCTGGGCCAATCTGTTCACTCAACTTCTTCAGACTTCTTCTCCTCTCCATCAAAATATGTACACACGTGTGTGAAATCAATTTTGTCATTTGTCCAAGAAAATTTACTTGTATCCCAGTTCTTTTCGTAATGATTCATTGCAATTTTTGAAGAAGTATTCCTAATCTTTCAACTGTAAGTAGAACAAAATTAATTCGAGCGGCCTTGCCCATGAGCCCAATCCCTATACCTAAAACTTTGCTGAATTGAGTGTGCAGCGATATATTTCATTGCTTAATTTGTCAATGCTGGATTTGTTGAAATCCTTTCTTGAACATTCTTTTCACTCTCTCTTTTTGACCAAATTATTTAAGTCAAATAACTCCCTGAAGTAAGACTGTATATTGCAAAATTAACAGCTTATCTTCATGGAAGGAATGAGCGTTTACGGCTTGGTTATCATGGACAGACGTACATACTTTTCCCGAATACTTGGAATCATTAAGGGAATTTTTCATTTCATTCTAGAACATAGAAGGGCACACCTATAACACCTCTAATTTTAGAGGGGAACAATAAGTATGTTATTGGTTTTTCTTTCTTCTCACAGAGAGATTTTCAAGTAAAACAGCCCTTTTTAATCAACATATTGATTCCTATTGTGAAACAACTTTATGTGTCACCTACTGCAATAGTCCACCGTTATGTACATGGTAGTATGGAATGATTGTGCATGAAGTAACCATACAAAAAGTACTTTGGCTCAAAAATAATCTGATCAGTAGATTTTTGTTTAGCTCAATAAATTTGGCTAATATAGGTTCTTGAATTTCCACAGATGTCTGCAAAGGAGGAAAAAGTTGTTGGTTTTGAGCTGGATGAACCAGCATCCAAGTCCAGCAGCAGAGCCAAGAAGAAAAAGAAGTCGCAGGGCTTTCAAGGAATGGGTCTTAGCTCTAATGTTCTAAGAGGAATCGTCAAGAGAGGCTATAATTTTCCGACACCTATTCAAAGACAGGTAATTTATCACATCAATTTGTGATTACTTTGGGGGAAATGTATTTTTAGATAATCCTGGGGAGTGCAAGTAATGCCCAATATCTTTAATTTTTGCCGACTACTTTAAAGAAGTGGATCAAATCTTACTCTTTGCTTTGACTGCATTATCAAGTAAGTTGCAAGCATTTACAGAGTAATGTTTTTTTTGGTCCCTTACCATTCAAAAGTGGGTTGTTTTACAAAGACCATAGTTTTTTTTTGTCATTGTGCTTGAAAGATTTAAATCGCTAAATTTCAGAGTTTTACCTTACTTACTTTATCTTCGTTGGCGATGAAAACGCACTGATCAATTTTTATTTTAACAGGCCATTCCACAAGTGTTAGATGGTAAAGATGTTGTTGCTATGGCACGAACAGGAAGTGGGAAAACTGCCTGTTTCCTTATTCCAATGTTTGAAAAATTGAAGATGCATAGTGCAAATGGAGTTCGCGCTTTGGTTTTATCCCCAACAAGAGAATTAGCCATTCAGGTAAGTGTACATCATTATTGCTCATTGTAATTGTGTTCTCTCTCGCGATGACATCAGATTCACTTATTAAAGGTGCTTTTTATTGCCATCTCTGATAAAAATTTTACCGTGTTTACTTTGCCTTAAGTCAGAGTTCTCTCCACTAGAACTGGGGAAAGAAAAGGAGAGACAAATGTCACATCCAAAAATTGCACCACTCAACAGATATTTACATGCTAACCAATGGGCCAACTGATGATTGATACATCCAGACTGATGTGACTTTTGTCTCTTCTTTTCTTCCCCCAGTTCTAATAGGCACTACTGATCATTACTCGCTTTTGTTTTTAAACCTTGATCCTTGAAGGGTAATGAATCGTTTCCGAAGGAAAAGCAACCTGCCAGTCAACAGTCCTGTGATAAAGTGACTGTATGAAGAGCTCTCTGTTGGAAAAGCGGTGGGGATGAATTATCTATATATTATGAATATTTCGGATCTAACACAAATTGATCATGAAACAGTCGTGTCATCTAACACATTTAGGAAAGAGTTAGCTGTAGCATAAACTGCAGGGCAGCCAGGAGAGCAGTTGGTAGAAATTCCATAGGTTTTTTTACTTCTTTCTTTTGTCAGCCTGTCTAATGAAGGAAGCTGTCTGTCTATGGCATCATAAGTTTCATTTGTATAAAAGCTTATTTCCCCATTTGAAATTTATTCTCGGGTATTTTAAAAAAATTCCACGTAACTTCTCGTCGCTAGCAGAATTTTTTTACAGCTTATCAAAATGTATCTAGATGTAACCTGATAGGCGGTGCACTGAATTAACCGGCAAGTATTTTATTAAGTAAGAAGATTTATGTCGGTGTCAGCTAGTTTGTACTAGTGGTCAGCATTTTTGACTGCAGGTCTGTAACTTTTGGGTTGGAACCCTGGTAGGGTGACAAATTTTCACAGAAGTGACGAGCTGAAACAAATCCTTTTAGCTTCATGTATTCCCTAAAAATTCAAAAACCAGTATGGATAAGCAGCTGAAGTAGGCTCTGCCCAGTTTTCCTGGCTGTAAGAAATAAAATAAAAAAATACTGATTTACACTCTCTTATTTTGTGCTACTATGATAATTAATTGGAAATTATTTTTTTCTCTAGACATTTAAATTCTTCAAAGACCTTGGTCGGTTTACGGATTTACGAGCCGTTTTGATTTTGGGAGGAGACTCAATGGACACGCAATTTTCCACTATTCACTCCTCACCCGACTGTATCATCGCAACTCCTGGTAGATTTTTACATTTGATTGTCGAGATGAATTTAAGTCTGAAAAATGTTCGATTTGTGGTTTTTGATGAAGCTGATCGGTAAGAAATTCAATTAGTAGAACTCAAAAGTTGTTCCAAAAATTAGCGGACCAATGCTGCCGTTTTAATCAAGATCAAAATTTATGATCTTGGAACCTAAAATACATTCCTGAGAAAAATTTCGAAGTATTTTTTTGTTTGATGAAATTTTTCCCTAAAATTACTACAATTTTGTTCATCATCAACAGACTAAGATAATGCAGGTATTGATCGATAGCTTGGTCAATAATTTTAAAATAGAACTAAAGTATTTTATCCAGCATTATTTTAGTCCTTTAATTGCAGCAGCAGTCCACGTATTTTTGGGATGATTATTTATATTTCCTTGAATTTTTGTCTTGTTTTTAGATCAATAGAGCTTTTTATCTACAGGCTGTCTTCCAATCAGTTGTCTTGGTTACCAACGGTTCGGAATATGAATTTTGCCAAGGTCATCTTTCGAAAGTATTTCCTTAATCTTCATTGCCAATTGAATCGGGACGTTCAAAACCGCTAATGTCCGACTTTCCTGTCTTTAGTTTTTTTGAGTTGATAATACCTCTAAAGAGTTGTTACAGCCATAAAAGTGATGAAAGACTCGTTTCGAGATTAAGATAACACGGAGATGAGTATTAACGCGGATCTGGTGGTTGCATCCAACTCTGAAAAGTATTATCAACTCAAAAAATTACGGACATTGAATCAGGACATTAGCGGTTTTCGCACGTCCTGATTCAATTAGAAAGAGCACATTTTATACAGATTCTCACTGATGTTCTACTGAGGTGCATTGTTTTGAAGGCATCCAAAGTAATGACCCGATGATCAGCCTATGACTGAGAAACAGGAATAAATAAGTTTTGAATTTGCCTATCAGCCACCTCAGAAATATTATAATGTTGAATGCATTTTTGAATAGTCCGTGCTCTGATTTTGGTAATATTTTGCTTTTTTTTGTTGATTAGTGATTGCTGTCCGAAGTAAATTTTAACGTGTAAAAATCCTACACTGCAATGTAAGGGAGTGAAGTACAGTTTTGCCTCTGTTACTTAATAATTTGTGGAAAACGGATCGTAGGAAATGCATAATTAACATTAAAAACCAAGAGATAGCTGTAGAATAGCTTGAAAAAAGCAAGGGTACAGTAAGAAAAACATTACTTGTCAACTAAATTAGCGGGTGTTTAAACTATTACTGTACTAAAATCCAACAAGATAGTTTTATCATTGTTCCTCTTGTTCTAAAATTTGTCGATCAGGATGGTTCCTTTAATTTTGATGAAATTTAGTTTTTATCGTTTTTCTGTCTCGTGTTTAAATCTTTTTTTCCTTTCTGCACTGCAGTCTATTTGAAATGGGTTTCGGCGAGCAGATGAGAGAAATCCTTCACCGATTACCAGACATTCGACAGACAATGTTGTTCTCAGCAACTTTACCAAAAGTAATCGTTCATTTTACTCGTGCTGGTTTGTCAAATCCAGTTCTTATTCGGTAAGAATTCACAAGAGGTTATTTCTATATCATTACTTTCTCCCTCTTGACCTACGCACACAATTTTTTTTTTGTGAAAGTTTATTGATTAAAAGTTCTCAGCCCAAAATATTTCATTGATATTACTTGTTTCAGATTTTTTTAAATTGAATTTTGTCAAAGCTTTGCTTTCATAATACTTTTCCGTAGCTCCTAGCATATTTAGTCTTCAACATTGCTTTTTTTCCCTCTCATTTATTTTGAAATAATCTCAGAATAAAATCAGAGAAATAAATCTTTACTCTGACCTACATCTATCATCCAAAATTTTTGTCAGAGAAAAAATTTCAGAATATTATTGGAGTAAAAAAACTAAATTTTTAATTGTTAAAAGTTCATTTAATGGGGCACCAACAGATCTGAAATAAATAAACCATCAGTGTAGTAATTATTTCTTGGTTTACTTTTGGTTTTATACGTTAGTACCACCACCCTGACAGGGTGTTAATTACTTTCGTGTTGAAAATTCTGTAATGTTTTGGACCTGGTGAAATCACAATCCAATGTTTCTACTGTTTATGGATGCCTAAGAGCACTCTGTTAGAAAACTTACACCAAAAAAAGTCTATTGTAGCTTTTTGGATGAATTATGTTGACAGAGTTGTAATAGTCAGAACCTAGAGTTGATTTCTCCCAGTGCTAGGTCCTCTTTTTAACTTAATCAAATTCTTAGAATTTTTTTATTTGCTCTAATTCACAGATTAGATCTTGATAATAAGCTTCCAGATACTTTAGAGTGCAATTTCTATAACTGTCGGGACGAAGATAAACTTGCTGCACTAATATGCATTTTGAAGAAAGTTATCAAACCAGGAAGTTTAACTGTCGTATTTGTAGCCACTAAACATCATGTAGAAATGATTCATGAGGTAAGGCGGAGTGTTTTATTTTTTCTTTGTGTCAGTTTTTTAAATTTTTACCTGCTCCTTTACCCTAATTCTGATGAAATGATGCTTAATTTTATACCAGTTTAGTAGTCCATTATCTAAATGTTTCACTAACTGTTCCGGCCATTGACACATCGAGCCAAATAATCAAGGTTCTATAATACATCTTTTTCTTTTACTACAAGGCAGCGCATTCTCTAAAGATCTCAACAACACTAAATTTCTTTTGATTTTTAGTCGTGCGGCGAAGCCGTATAGACTCTAGGTTTCGCCGGAGGCTAAAAAGTGTCCACACTTTTAGGCTAAGTCCAAGAGGAGAATTTTCGAGGAACCAAGTAACATATGAGGTATTGATATCGGTGCATTTTGGCCCAATGGAGATGTTACATGTGCGAGGAATTTGCAATTTGACTGTTGATTCTTGTATAAAAGTTCACGAGGAACACAATGGTGCCACTGGTTTTCTCTGAAATCATCTTCCATGCTCAAAAAAA